GTACAACTTTTACTTTGTTATTGACATTTGGTGGGACTTTTACTCAAGCATACTGCTTATCTGATTGTCAATGCATCAATACGTCTTACACTTGTCTCAGGTTGAACACTGTTAAGGGTTAGCAGCAGTTTAGAAGTTATTTTTGTGTCTGTTCTGTGTCAAAGCAGAAATTCCCACGAAGGCTGTCGTCACAGCTTTTTAAGTGGTCTATAAAAACCTGCTGTGTTTGTAGTGTCTGTAGTGTTTGATACAAACCAGTACTAAAGTTACCATCTTACGGGAACAAACTATAGTTCAATACATATTAGTGCATCACATTTATGTTTTGTATATTACTTTAAATGTACTTATAATTATCAAATAAATGTTGTGGAGAAAGAAACAGAATATTTTCCTCTGAATGTTAGTGGAGTAGAAGTATAAAGAGGCATAACATGAAACTATTCAAGTAAAGTACCGAACATTGTACTTAAGTACAGTACTTGATGCACTCAGTTTGTATTTTTGGTCTTATTTGAGGCATAAGGGCTGAAACTGTTTATCTCTTATATTAGTGCAGACAGTAGGCTACAGTACATTACATGGTCACTGTGCTGGAGATACCAGATATAAAAAAAGGACAATTAGGCGTAGCGGCCTTATCACTGCACAAAAACAAGAATAAACAAATAAATTAAAATTCAAATCTACAAAATGGGGGAAAACGTTTTGATATTTATAACCCTGAAAATGCAGTTTTCTTTAAAATTGATTTAATACACATGTTAAAAAACAGTTGATAGGAGAGTAAGTTTTCTTATACTACTTTAAACACACATACACACACACACACACACACACTCAGTCACTGACCATGTGATGTGAATGCCCCCTGCTCCGGTTACAGAGGGAGGGAGGAGGGAGGCAGCAGTACAATGTAAACCTTCCCACTGATGGAGAGAAGCGGCCAACATCAGGAGAGGACAGTCAGTCACTCAGTCAGCGCTGCAGTTTCCCAAAATGTGCAATTTCCTTCTCCAGCGCGGATTAGAACTCCGGGAGACCTCGGCCTCTAATGGGGAGCAGCCGCATTAACTAGTGGACACACTTCCATTAACTGCTTTTCTTTGCTGCCGGCCAGGTCACCGAGCTGCGCACGCACCGTGGGCTTATCCACCGACACCCGGCAGGAGGAGGGACATTAAACGGAGTATTTAGAGTCCTAAAGTGGCACTTCTTTCCTGTTCTGATAGACAGACCGGATCACGTGGACAGGTGACCTGGACGTGCACGCTGCATGTTATCTTTCTCTTAAAAGCCTGGAGGAATAAAGAGGACAGGGTAAGGACTGCAAGAACTCAATTTCAGCACAAAATTCTGCTGTATTTTTGTTGAGCTCAGCTACCAGCAGCACTATTACTATTATTATTACTCCTACTACTATTACTACTACTATCATTACTATTACTCCTCACTTTGTTAGATATATTCAACTGGTGTTTTCTGATGAAGCGGCAGATGACGTGACGAAGAGACACCTGATAAACTGCTGTGGCATGGCTGCAAGAGCGTTAATTGGTCCGGACCGTGATGCCGTTTGCGTCCGGTGGGTTCAACAACAAGACAACATTCGCTCCCAGGCGGAGGGCTAACTTGTCACGGACACTACCTCATCAAATGACTCTGTCCTGACTCACATAGGAGTCAGGGGGCTGCAGGCCATAGCATGGGCAACTCCTCCAGGAAGGGAGAGGGAGAAGAGGAAGAGGTGGGTGCGAAGGATGGCGAGGAGGCCGATATCACAGAGAAGAAGAAAGAAGAACCGGTGGAGGTGGAGGCAGAGCTTCCACTGGGGGTGGAGGAGTTGTTTGAAAGTGGGGATCCCGTGCTGGACTTGAGCTACCGTAAATTTAAGCAGTTGCCGTCGCGTGTTAGTGCACTGATGCATCTGGAGAAGCTGTATGTTTGTGGGAACCGCCTGCGCACTCTACCGGACAGCATCTCCCAGCTGCAAGGTCTGCGTATCCTTGCCCTCGACTTCAACAAGATGGAGGATGTTCCTGCTGCCGTCTGCCAGCTCACTAACCTCACTCGCCTCTACCTGGGCAGCAACCGGCTCATGACCCTCCCGCCTGAGCTGAGAAACCTGCAAAGTCTGCGCTGCCTGTGGGTGGAGAGCAACTACTTCCAGAGTTTTCCACGGGAGCTCTACGACCTGCCCAACCTCAAGTCCCTTCAGATTGGGGACAACCGGCTGAAGACGTTGCCTCCTGACCTCTGCCGTATGGAGGCTTTGAGGGGATTATGGCTCTATGGGAACCGCTTTGATACCTTCCCCAAAGTCTTGTTGCGCATGGAGAGTTTGGAGATTTTAGATCTGGACCGCAACAAGATATCAGAGTTTCCCAGCCTGAAGCGTCTCCACGCCCTGCAGCTCTTCTCCTACGATCACAATCCAGTGGATGGCCCTCCTAAAGTGGGCAAGGAGGTGCTCGTGGTTGGGGAAGGCGCTGCAGAGTTCTTGGAGGAGCGCGAGGCCAGGAATGAGAGACGAAAGGCTGCAGAGGACGAGGCCGAAGAGTTGGCTCTGGCAGGAGAAGAGCCGGTGATTCATGGCATCCTGAAGAACAGCAGCTCCAACTCAAAACAAGCTGTGGTGACTGTAGAGGACGCAGACGTTAAAGAGGAGGAGCCCCTGGCAAATGAGGAGGAGGAAAACATGGAGCTGCCCGTCACTGATTATGACGGAGCTGAGCTTGAATATGATGAGGAGGGGGTCGAATATGAGACGGAGGAGCTGATATGTGAGGGAGAGGGGTTTGAGTATGAGGGGGACGAGCTGGAGTACGAGAGGGCTCAGATGGACTATGAGTATGAGGAGGACTCGGGGAGACAAGATGAAGGGGCATGAAAAACCCTTCATACATCCAGACTCAGATGATCTGCAGGCAGGCGGAGGTGGATGACAGAAAAGAAGCTGACACAACAAATTAGCTGTGCTGCTAATTGCTAATCTAGCGTTAACTGTGAAAATGAATAAGCAGTGAGGCATTATGAAACTGTAAACTGACGGCACCTGTGACATCTCAATCAGCAGCAAATGACCAAATCAGAGCAGGACTCAGGTGGTGTGTGTGTGTGTGTGTGTGTGTGTGTGTGTGTGTGTGTGTGTGTGTGTGTGTGTGTGTGTAAGAGAGGTGTGCGGGTGTTTTACATTAGGGTTATTTTTGTGTACACCATCTTCCCTTATTAAATATTAACTCAGCTGATGAAGTTGGTGTCAATCATTTATGGGAAAATATGTCTTAATTGGGAACCAGTGAACGTACCAGCTACTGTTTACTTCACCGACACACTGTAGTATTTCCACATATCATGGTCGGTGTCTGGTTTATATGGCAGTGCACCTCGGCCTCGACTCATTGCTATTTTTGTAAACCGAGACGGTGTGTGCGCATGTAAATGTGTGTATTGGATTTAGATTTACAAAATATTTATGACGTGCTAAACACAACCCCCCAACCCTTGTCAGTGTTGTGTAAGCAGTCCTGTGAGTGCCAGTGCCAAGGAAGAGAGCGAGACCAGCAGGATTATTAGAGGGAGGAATAGCTGGGGTGCCTCACCATAAAAGGTAAGTCCATAGGGAGGCTCCAGACATGAAATAGACTCACAAAAGTATCAAGCAGGAGGTCAGCAGGTCAGAGACTCGGGTCCGTCATGACCTTTGTATACTCCTTTTTGTCGGTGACGGCACCTTTTCTACCTCCGTCTCTAACATGAAGCAGGTCCGGCCCTTGTTCTCCTCTCATTTCTGCACTCATTATTCATGTGGGGCTCCTACATAATCCAATCTCCTTTCCCTCCACGTATCTCCTTCTCACATCTCATTGAAAGAGTGAAATATTTATCCCAGCGTTGAAATATTTATGCTCGTACTCGTGTGGCAGTGTGTCTCGACTCCTGCGTCTGTGCTGAGGGAAACTTTTGGAGAACAGACTCAAACTTTTTACATATAAAACCATTCATTTTACATATATGTAAGGCTATTTGTGTTATGTCTGGGGCCGCAGTTGATGATTTTTTAATTATCTATTAATATTTTGATAATTTTCTTGATTAATTAATCGATTGATCCAGTGGATATCAGAAAATAGAGAAAATTGCCCGTCACAGTACACTAGAGAGCAAGTTGATATCTTCAAATTGAGTGTTTTGTTTGACCAACAGTCTCAAACCCAAAGATATTCAGTTTACCAAAAACATTGTTATACTGTTTTTTGTCAGCTTAAAAAAGATATGAAGCAATTTTCAAAATCATTCAAAAAGTTTCTGTAACTCTGAGTATTTTTATCATTAACTAATTTGGCAACATTTTCTTAGCTAATAGGTTAATTGTCTTGTCTTTAAAATGTCATAAAACAGTGTAAAATGCTCATCACAGATTCCCAGAGCCTAACGTGACATCTTCAAATGTCCTGACCAAAACCCAAAGACACGAAATAACTGTAATTTTGATTAAAGACAAAGTAATGCAGCAATAGCTGCTTTGCTTGATCAAGACTAAGGCCCCGATCAGACAATGTGCGTTTTTAGCAGCTTGGGCGGCTTTTTTGGAATTGTTTTCAATGTGATTGAAGCGGTTTTGCGCCGCTTTTGCATTGTTGAGCTCCTCGTGTTTTTCCGCGCATGTATAGTAGGATGGAGCTACAGTATAAGACACATAATGTGACCCTTTTGGACACTCGATCCTCCAGTGACAGTGAGTCAAAGACAATGCATCATCTCCTTCACTGCCTCTTTGGCCGTCACCCGACTCACTTCACACAACTGACTGACTGGCAGCTTTTCAGCTCACACAAAGAGGACTTAACAAAGAGATGAAAGTGAGCTATTTTTTGACAGGACTATCGCAAAAAAACACAGACGAGGGAGTTCTGAAGGCTTTTAGGATTTGATCAAAACGATATGTAATAATTACACACACACATCCGCAGTTTTGTTTTCTGCACAAATCTCCCAGAGTACAGTTTTAACAACAAACTCCACATTTTATTTGTAGTCATGCAGGTACCTTCTCAGGTGTGAGAAGGTTTAGCCCCTAAAGATGAACCTGTGAAATAAAAGTAACTAATATGAGTCAAAGGAAACATTATGCATGATGGGACATCATGTCTGCAGCTTGTTTGCGTACCTGTCCATGTCTCGACGATTGTAGCTGTTGTCCCTTTTTCCACTGATAATTCCTGCACAAGTGTGGCCAGATTTTGACTTTTCGTAATCGGCATCATAACAAAACCTGGAAGAAAAAAAATCATCATTCTTGTCAACTAAACATGCTTAGATGTTATTCTGTACTGTTTGATACCCGTTAGCTAACCTCGACATTATCTGAAGATATCAAACACACTTACGTCCTTTTATAATGTGTGTTGAAGTGTGAACAATCAAACGGTGTGTTCGGAAAAATCTGGTTGCTTGAAGCATTGAGAAGAAATCCTGTGGGCTCCTAGAAAACACAACAACAGGCTAAAACAACTGATAATAGCTCCAAACACAGAGGTAATATTGATCACAGGAAGAAAGAAAACTACAAGATAAAAGTATATAACCTTTATTCCAATGGACTTTGTAGTTGGTGCATTACTTTTAGTCCATGGTGACGGCAGCAGGGAGGTCTAGATGAGCAGAGGGAAGAATGTTTAAAGTTAAAGTGATATCATTAAAATCTGCTACAGCTGACTGGACGGGGATCAATACTCACTGGGCAGGCCAAGGGAGCGATGGCACCTCGAGTGAATCCTGTTTCTCGAGACAAATGGCTACTGCACACGCTCGGTCTCGCCTCAGTGCCCTGAAACACAAGCACAGAAAGATGCTGTTAAACCTTACAGATTCTAGAAAACAATATTACAAACTGCATCCTTTCAAACAAGTCAGAGTGGATGAGGTCTGTGTGCCAACCTGCAGAAATGACGGTGACACAAAGTCCCTTTTCATCACTGAGCTGTGAGTCTGGAGAGGTTCAACCTGAACATCAGTCAAAAAAAAAAAAAAAGTAGATGTTGTTACATTTAAGAAATAAATTATTGTACAGTATGTAAAATATGTACTGTGTACTCACTGTGTGATTACGTAAATATAGACTAATAATACTGATTTAATTTACAATAATGACTATTTAGTAATCTTACCATGCAGCTTTTCTTCTCCACAAATGTGTTAAGTTGAAGGTCTGTTCCTTCAGTGAAGCCACTTTCTCCTGGTGGACCCACAGTCACATGGTTCTGGAAAACTGGAGCTGTGATAGTCGCTGTTTTCGGAAGACTCCTCAGCTGATGGAAGCCGCTGTCTCTGGACTTGTTAATGAGGTTTGGCAAAGACCCCGTATAGTCAGACAGGATGTGAGGTTGGTAGTGTTGTTTAGTTTGAGACATGAAACTGTCAGATAACAGGAGTCTGCACACAAAAACAACACAACTGTGCTTGAGGAAACAGGCTTTTTGAAGCTAAGGGCGAACTGTAGTTTCAGTGACAGCTTAATCAGTTCAGGCAGTTGGTTTCCAAAAATGAAAAACACCACATAAACGTTGCTATCAAAATATTGTTGTACGTGTCAAGTCACCCAAATTACAAAACCTACACGCTGTCTTGTATCTAGTGGTATCGAGCTATGCAAATAGCTTTAGTTTTACTTGCCTGATTAATGTTTAAGATTACCTGTGAGGACTCGGCACGAGTGTGCAGGGCCTTAAAGATCCACCTCCACCCAAATATAACAGAGGTCAATAAAGTTATCTATATGTGGGGGTCTTTGCATTGAGAAAATGAGATTTAAAAACAACAATACTAACAGTAGTTATATAACAGGGACTATTTATTTTGTATAAAGTTAGTTCTAATATTAACGGCTCAATCTGTATATTATCACACTTAACAGGGACATTGTTTCTGTTTAATCAAATGTTGAAATAAATTGAGCACGACATGAGCCTCTATTCACTAGACGTATATCTTAAAAGCCCTGCACACCCACGGTAAATTAACCCAGGTGTTAATCACTGATTGATTAGATCTCTTCTCAAACCTGTTAGGGAGTCCAGACAGTGCTTTACTGACGTTATATTGAACTCTCCTGTTAGCTTTGTTGCACCTTTTAAGGCTGAACCAATATCACCTCTATAATAGACACTTTGACTAGAAGGAGAAGCTCAGGTGTTACCAATAACATTAACGATTGTGTGCGCTGACACACACACACTCAGTGTACTGACAAAGGTGTGTTCACTATCACTTTACTCTTTTATCTTACTTATTTGGACATAGCGTTTGGTACTTTCACAAAGCTAAATCAGCTTCCACCTGACTCAACGTCTAATCAGACGTGATTAAAAAACACATGTGTAGGGCTTTTGAAATAATAATCAACTGGTGAGCATTTCAGTTTGATTTTCATAGTCCTCACCTGACACTTACCCAAAAGCAGGGTTGTCAATGTGGTCCAAACTGGGCCTGTAATATACGGCTGGTCTCTGGTTTGATGTGTAGCCCGTCACACTGGGATGTCCGAGATGAGAGGTGAAAGTCACCCTGCCCGGGTCTGAGACAGTCATACAAATACTGGCCATCAGAAACCTAATCTGAATCCCAATGGACGTTTTTCACAGCAGTCATTTTGACTACAATCATAAAAGCACGAGTGAAATCAACATTGACGATGGCTCAGTTTCATTAAGTGTCCCATTAAGCTATGATCATACCAGGGCCTCCCCTAAGTGGAACACAGCTAATGTTATTGAATACATCTGTGCTTTTGCTACTATGACATGTCAACATGTCTGCTGTGAAAAAGTTGTTTTTAGTATGATAAAAGTTATTAATGTTTAAGCTGAGACTTTTTGACTTCCCCCCTCATTGTGCACTCTCTCACCGTAAGACGTGTTGTAGAGTTTGACTGCGTTGCTGGTCAGTCGTCCCCTGCTACCTGTTGCTCCAACAGTCGTCATAACTATCCTCCTCTGCTCAGGCACCCGTGACTGCTATAATGGAAAACTCTCACTGACGCCGGTGATGGATGGTAAAAATCCTCTGGGCATGTGCACAGTGCTGTAACCATCAACAAAAGCAGCAAACAATGTGTAACTCCTTTGTTTTTAGGTTTGACAGAATCCAACAGAGCTCTCTGAAAAAGTGATTACAGAGCCTGTAGGAATAATGCAATGAGTGCTCCCTTTATCAAATGCTGTTTGTGAGTGAGGAGAGAAGGTCAGCAGCACTGCAGCACAGCTACAGATATCAGATCTATTTACACCAGATTTAAATTACCCCCGGAAAAAAAGAGCAGATTCACTTAATTCCCCAGACGTACCTGCAATGCTCGTTGCTCACCTTTCCGTCTCGTGGTTTGTAGGTAAACAGGTCTCTGTTGCTAGGAGAGGCAGCACCAGGGCTGAAGAGTGACTCCAGAGAGAAAGGTTGGCTGCTTACATCATTAGATAACGTTTCTACTGTAAATCAGGTCGATGCTTTATTCCTTTAACACCTGGCCTCTGCAAGTTATTTGATCACTGGCAGGAGTTTCAGCCAATCATCAGCACTTCTAGATTTATATTTAATTTAATGTTTATATTTAATGTTATTTAGTTATTTATCATCTATTTGTTTGTTTTTAGTCCATATTTCATCATATTACGGTTACTTATTTAATTGGGAGCACTTCATAATAAGAATACAAATCCCATACTTAAGAAATGTAATTATTGTTGCATTAACAAATGATTAATGACTTAATGGGATTAGTTCACAGAATGATCCAATCAATGTATGTGACTATGAATTAACATTCATTATTGATTACCTATTAAGTTTGAACTGATCACTATCATTTATTAATCATTATTACTGCGTTATGGAGGAGGAGCTAGTAAACACTTATCTTATATCTGCTTACAGCTACATCTTGGTGTTATATACATTTATAAAATGTTATTAATGCTTATAAATGTGAAATAGGAGGGGTTGAAGAATGTATTTTATGCATATTGTATTTATTATTTATACCTATATTTATATTATGTACAGCACACACACGCCATGGCTACCTGACAGGTTTTACTCTATAACTTACTGAACTAAGAAGTAATAATTAATACAGTGCATGTACATATATTAGCATAATTAATTGATCCAGTCTAAGGTATTCTATATTATACATACAGCTTTTTATTTATTCATTTAAATAGTAGGTGTTGTATGCTTTTCACTTCGTGCAGTCTTTTGAGACAAATTTGTGATGTATAAATAACTTACAAAACTTCAGCTGCACAGCTCTCATACCAAACATCCTCAGCAGACTGGACGGTTTCTCTGTGTGTCCATTGGATGGCAGTGTGATGCCACAGTGGCTCTGACTTCAGTCGAGCCCAGAAAAGATGCAAGGTTATGTAAAAAATGATGGATGGCTTGAAATTTGCATGATATCTTGATAAAAAAATGTCCATCCGAGACAAGGATTTATCATCCACCTCTGTTAGCAGGAAGAAATGTCCGCACACCATCTATACATCTACATCTACATGAGCATGTCAATTTAATCTGGAGGATATCCACCTCCTTTATTTACGACATTTATTTGCGAAAAAATCCTTTTTATAGAAGCAGATATAGTCTCACTTATTAACCATCAACAGGATATCTTCTGTATTCAATTAAAGGGGTAAAATAGTGTAATATTTATATCAGAAAACCCACATGGTCTTCAAACACGCAGTATGAACACTTCAAACAGTGTCATTTTCTTCACCGTTTCCTTATTAGGTGAAAATTACAGCATCAAATCTAACTGAAGTTTTTCCATAACGAGCTGCTCACCCCCTCACTTTCTATTCCTTCTCTTTCCATCTCATTTCCTTGGACTCACACTGCATCTTCACCTCTGTCACATCACTTCTTGCTCCCTCCATCTGTCCAACGCTGGCAGTCGGAGGAGCCTATCTTTACCAAGCTGTTGCTTGTGTTGCCGTTCCACAGTCCTTCGTGCTTGACGCGCTGTCATGCACGTTCATTATCTTCTCCAAAAAAAATAACGACAGGGAAACGCCTGCATCATTGAAACTGACAGTCTCATTTCCTGCTTCTTTTCTCTTAAGCACAATGTGCACATTATTGGCATTTCTAATTATAAACGCTCAGGGATCCATACAGCAGAAATAGACCAGGCGCCTATTTTCATTCCAGTCAAAGATTACACCAGATGATTTTGCTTATTAGAACAACTTCAGCCAGAGAGTCAGAGAGGAGGAACTGATCAGTGGAAGCACCTGCTGTACTCTGAGATGAAAAACCTGCAGACTCTCCACATGATTGTTCATCTCTTCAGTACAGCAATCTGTGTTTGTTCTGCATCTGCATAATTCACATATAACATGACTGTGCTGCAGCCAGACTCAGTTATAGGCCAGATTCTGGATCAAATTGACATTAATTCTGGGAGGAAAATGTGCACTTGAGATAACACTTGGAATACAGAGGGAGCCTAAAAAGATGAGAAAAGGTGGGTGCAGTGTTTCTAAAAATAGATGGAGGTGATGCAAGCACGGGTCTCCCGTCGAGTTGATGCGCTTGGCTCGCCTGCAGCCGTCTGTTGTAGTTCAGGGAGGGACGAAACCTCGGCCCCTGTCTGCAGGAGCTCGGCTGGCTTTGTGCTCGTCTGCGTTTCCTGGCCAACTCTGATACTCTGCTGCACCGGGAGGAGACTCTATACAGTCTCTCTGTCGGTTCAATAACCTGTTTCTGTGTCTGCCATAGAAAAACATGGAATTAATATTTAGAGAGACAGCTAAGGCGCTAAGACCCGTCTTTGTGTGTCAGGTCTCAGAGGTGCTCTCTCTGCTTCACCGCCTCACTGTTCTGGGGTCTTATCTCCTTCCTGCTTCCTTTTTGACTTCTGTACTTAATAGGCAAAGTGGTTTGGAGTAAATTGCATTGTCATCTTCTTCCATTTCTAGTTTCAATCAGCTTTGGTGCGTGTAATGCTAAGGAGGCCAGCTGTGGTGAGCAGAGGGAGATTCAGACATAAAATCAGACGAGTGTACATTTCCTGACATGTACAAGGTATTCTGTTACTCAATGAGAAGCAGATTAAATTAAAGAAAAACAATTTCACCATCATGTTGATATTGCAAGATATGCCTTTGAATATTGAGATGGATGGATTAAAATGGATTGAAGCTGAAACAAACAGCTTTTGGACATGTCAGAAGTCAAACAAACTGTATGAACAGTGCAAGAGCTAACTAATGAGAAACTCTGTCATCATCCTTGAAAACGGGATGAAAGATTCCCTCAGAGTGCTGCATGTAGATGTGCGAGTCATTTACCTTCACCACCACATTGCCTGGCGATACACAGAAGTTGAAATTAAGGAACAACGCTATTCCTGTAAAGCCGAGTTGGTCTTTATTCACTAAAGCACTCAGTAGGGAAGTTCAATATCTGTAGCAAAATCAAGTAGTAGTCAACACATTTCACCCAAAACCGAAAAATGTCAACCTCATGGTGGCGCGTGGAACAAAATTGAATGTCAATCCATCCAATTGTTGAGATGATTGAGTCTGGACCAAAGTGATGCCATGTCAAAAGCCAAACCCCTAACATGGCTAAAAGGACTGAGCAGCACATTAACGCCTTTCAGAGAGAGAAGTGTTCGGGTGTAATGTTTGAGTGTCTCCAGTGTCAACGTTTACCACTCTTCAAATAACCTTGAGAGAAACAAGACACAGAGAGGAAGACGACTGAATCTCTGAACACAGATGTAGTAAAAATGATTCTTTAATATGGAACAAAATCAGAGCTCAGCTCCATGGCTCCGTCCACCCAACACACTCTGTAACACTGATGGGTGGAGGAGAACGAGAAAATCAACCAGCAAGATCACAGTCCGCTCGGCCCAAAAACAGGAGAGGCTAAAAAAACATGGAACGCAAAACCAAAGTGCTACTGGGTCTGACCTCGAGACGCCCTCGTTCCCCTCCTCCCTGACCCAGGATGTGACCACGGGGACAGGCCTCTCTGCCGCCTCCCGGGGCTCTCCCACCTCCTCACCCACCTCACCCTTCTCTTCCCACCGTCGAAGACCCGCTGACCCCTCAGAGCCCGGTGAGGTCAGCGTGAAGGCGGGTTTTGGAGGAGCAGAGAGGCGAGTGTGACGGTCTTTATGCTCTATCAGTTCTCAGAGGGACGTGAACACAGACAAGACGTCTTGGTTATTATCATGGCTCCAGTGGAAATGTCTGTGGTTCAGTCCCTCTGCTGTTTTACTCCCAGTTTACGTGATAATCTAATTTCAATCTTTAAAATGTTGCTCACTTGAGATTCAGATGGAATGTTTGAAGTTTTTGAGGAAATGAGACGAGATACGAGGGAGAGGACGTCTGCGGAGGTCGCCCAGTAAGAACCCATTACTACCCTAACACAGGGACATCAACAGAAGTACTACACAGATATGTACAGAGCAACCAAGCAACATATCAGAATACTGAGTAATAAATCTGGTGTGGGAAAGGGAAGGTAATAATAATCCACTACAAATGCACATATCCCACTACTTTTTTTGTGTGTGTAGTTGGTCCAATCTTTAAGGCTATTCTCTTTCTGTTGCTACAAACAGGGCGGCAGTGAAACCACCACAACATAGTTGTTGATTTGAGTCACAGGTCTGTGCTTTATATCTGAATATGGCTGCTTTGTGTTTCTGTGTGCTAAGCTGGCAGCTGCCCGTCTCCTCGGATATTGTATAGAGAGGAGTCTAAAAGTACAGCATCGTAAAGAGAGGATGTAACATGAAGGTATGAACAGGGACGACGATGCTCTTTTTTTGTGCTAAATCATTCTCTGGTCCACAGAGCTCTGCAGGAAAAACAAGGTAATGTGGAGGGTGACTGATGAGAGTTGCTAATGGACAAATAATCACAGATAGATGAGGAAGCATGGATTACTGGTAAATTAGCAGAGGAAGTGGAAATCTATACTTGGTGGAGGATTAAGATGAAGCATTGTAATGAAGAAGCAGAGTGGACATGAGGAGAGAGAGAGAGAGAGAGAGAGAGAGAGAGAGAGAGAGAGAGAGAGAGAGCATCTGCCAGCTTCAGCCAACAGTCATCCTGCACTTGAACACACACTGCGTCACATGACAAACTACATCAGAGAGGGAGGGAGGCACTGCACAAAGAGCACTAGCACTACCATGGACGGACACGCACTTAACACACACACATACACACGCGCACACACGCACGCACACACACACACTACTACACAGGGTCCCAGTCTGCGTTCCACTGCACTCTCCTGGCTGCCAGAACCTCGCTGTGTCTCGTCAAGAAAAAACAACAAACAAACTGATTAACAAACAAACGGACGAAAAGAAGAAACAACACACACTTTGGATCCCACTGGCAATAATAAAAAAATAAACCAGAAACGAAACCTAGGATATAAAAAGAGCCAGTGGCACCGGGTTTTACAGAAAGCATTTTCTCAATGACTGGCTTTTGAACAGCTCTACGCTTTTTCTTTTAGTCTACCAAGTATATACTATTAACCTTACCAGGCAGCTAAAATCTATACAGTACTGTCATTTTTCATATATTTATAGATATTTATACACTATACAAAGTTGGCAAAAATACATAAATAAATACATTAAATTAGATTGTACACATCACAATTGTGTGTTTTTAAGTTAGAGCACTCTTTGTTGAAGAGGTGAGCCATGGCAAGTTGAGAAAGGAGGTGAAGAAACAGGAGTGTTACCCTGGACATCCCGCAACACAAAAAGAGTCACCATCAGACTCGGTAAGTAATATTTGTGTATGGCGTTAAATAAGTGTATTGCTTATTACCTACCTGATTACAAATGTCCACATTATGGCAGGAGTTAGAGGATGCTCTAACCGAATCACAAAGTCTATTTACAACCAGCGAGGAAAGAAAAACACACGTATTCTGAGGGATCTGGATTTAGGGAAAATAGTCAGAATTTATTTTCAGCGCATCGAGAAACGACAGATTGTGTGTGTGTGTGTGTGTGTGTGTGTGTGTATTTCCCGACTCGTGGGACTCCCTCTAAAGGATGGGATTACAAATGAAGGCAGGACTGTGTCCACTGTCCTTCCTGCAGACAGCTGCTGGGAGTATCTGCTGTACCATATCATTTCCGTGGCGGAGACGGTGCTAAAAGTAAAATGAAACCGATAAGCTTCATCCTTGCACTGTACACATACCCAGCCAGATACATAAGGCTGTGGCATATGGAAAATAGGAAAGTAGGCGTACAGACACCTGCAGTGAAAATAACTGGAGTAGAGCCCTGTGCTTTTCTTTTTGGGATGCAGCAGTGGGCTGAATAAGTCTGTTGAGAAGGCACAGGGCACATTTTGGACATTTGGAAAGATCTTAATCTCCTTCACTCATTTTTAATCATTAAATACCCTTATTTCCACTATACGTCTGCCATATGGCGGTTTATAGCACTAATCCTGGGTTTCTCTTGCTGGAGTTTGAGATGTCTGACAGACATCTCTAAACAGGAGACAAGCATCTTATGTGGCGAGTTCATGGCAGTGCTTAATCATGAGTCTAACCCCCCAAAAAGAGGCTGAATCACTAGCCCTTTACAGGGTCAGATGGATGAAGTACGTCCCTCTACTTGGAATCTACTCCCTCCTCCATACATGCCTGTCCCCATGTATGGCCTTCAGCAGAGCAATAATGACTCTAAATTCAATGAGGAAGGCATCATCAGTGTCAGTACAGGGCCAATCCCGTCTAACACAATGGCATTACAGTAAATCCCCAAGCCTGTAAGCAGACAGGGTGAGATGTGATGCCAAGCGACCGGGGCAGACTGACTCCACGGGGAGGAGAACAGTCTTCTCACACAGCCACGGAGCACTCCATTTTTGTAATAAAATTACAAAGATGTTTTGTGGCATGGATAACACAGGCTACAATTTGTGCCACATATCGCTCAGTCCACATCCTCAAAATGTGTAGGGGGGTAAAAGGTATGTGGCAGTGTTGCTACAGCGGCCCTGGGATGTTTTGGGTATCACTCCTTCCCTTTGTTTCTCTTGCCCCGACCTCACAGCACCTCCAACAAAAATACAGCGGACATCAAAAGCCCTTATTCAAGAAGGGCAGGTATAATCAGCTTCAGCATCATCAACATCACCACTGTTATTCATCAATATCATTGTTTTCTTCATCATTTCAAGTGACAAATGAAAACTCGGCGTACAACAAATGTTAATTTTCACCAACGATATTTACATAAAGTTTCCAAAAACAGAAGGATTTTCTTACCACGTTTTTATAAAGAAATAACATCTAGCACACACATACATACACACTGACCAACAGTCAAATGTGAACAGAAAGAAAACAAATATTATTACTTGTTATTCATATTAATTTTGTTACCATTCAAATAATGCTTGCTTGAACCCTGATTGGGAGAAGTCACATTGGTTTTCACCAGATGCTTAAAACAATTGAAAGGGTGAGTTAGGGGAGGCGAGGTCTGTCTGCGCAGGGTGAGACTCACACACGGAGCGAGCGGAAAAAACCCAAAGGTGACCCAGAAGACTTCTGGGCTGACTCAGCCGTCATAATATGATTCAGCGGAATAAAACAACTGCTGTCCCTCCAGGATGAGATTACTACAGCCGGATTTTAACCCCCCCCCCCCACACACACACACACCTAAAGTTCTCCAAGACATAAGCACAGTATAGCTTGAATTTAATATTGCACAAACTACAGCAAAGCAGGCACTGTTCCAATAGAGTGAGTCACTGACGCTCATATTGAGAAAGCCATATCCATCAAGGAAAACTAGTGTCACAGTATAGGAAACGGGCCGAGAGTACGACAAGGACAAACAACATCAGGCTCAGGAATATATCTAGCTAATCCCTCGGCAAACAGGTGTGACCCCTTCAGCCAATAAAGCTTTCAGTTATTTAGAAAGTAAACAGAGAAGGCAAGGCTGCAGGTGGCAATGATACATTTGGGGCGGACACACCCATTCCCTTCATAAACATCTTAGACAAGAAAAAAGTCTTCTCCCCCACTTCATCCAGCTGCTGTCGACAGCTAGCAGCCTTCTGAGGCTGTACTCAAGTTTTGAGCTAATTGCTAATGTCACGATGGCAATATGCTGATGTTTAGCAGGTATAATGTTTACCGTGGCTGTGACAAATTGTTAATGGCAGTGCTTAAAGTTCACGAAAGTTTGCAGAAACTTGAAAAGAGAAATTACAAAGCGTTTCCAACACCCTACGGATTAAAACCGAAATAAAGAGGAATCTAATAAACTGGGTTAAGCTTAAAGAGCAACTTAAGCTGCTCCTGTTTCAGTGGCAAAGTTGTGGGCAGTGTTGGCTGTGTCTGTCTTCTTGATTTAAACCGCAGTAAGTATCAAAACCTTGCACCAACCGGTTGGCTTTGCCAGGGAATGAAACACTGATGACAGACAGAGAAGAGTCTGAACACAAGGAGAGCGAGTACACTGGAGTGGAGTTAGTCTGACAAAGTCTCAACCGGGAGCATCTGCAACACCGCCATGCTGTATTCATGAGCTCAGGATTGTTAAAGGTCGGTCCTGACAGCGTTGGTGCCAACAGAACGCAATACGTTTAGAGGCGTGAGACAGGTGGCAGTATAATGAAACCGGGATTTGGAAAGTGTTCTTTCCTTTCTACGGTTTGGCTCTGAGCTCACCATCCATTTTAATGGTGCTGCTGTTTGACTGCTGGCGGTGGGAGAACATAAGGTTTGAGACTTCTGGTTATTTCAAGGAAAGTACAACTTTCTGGGTACTCTGTGATGGATCATATGACACTGTGTTTTTTTTTATGTTTGTAATTCTGCTCCTGTTAAGCACTTTGTGACTAATGTCTGTGAAAAGCGCTTTATAAATACATTTTACTTACTTATACTTAAAACAAATACTGGTTTGCAGAAGTAAATCCTTTTTTAAACTAGAGACAATATTACAATAACATTTGAGTATTTTGTTCTCGCCATTTTTAGAGATAATGGTTTTGTGACCATGAGCATGAGAAGTCACTAAATCTCTTTTAATGTAGATAAGATGAACGTTAGATACCTCTTGAATTAACTCTGCATATGTAGAGCGTGAACGTAGTCCGTTCTTCCTGTAACTACAATGTTCTTTAACAGCTCAAAATACATAAACATTGTTTTATCAGCTCGATACTTCATGACTTTGAACTCTTTGAGACCCCAAACAATGAAGAAGTAAAGTCAATGTTACTCATGGGTAATACAATGACATGAAGAAACATTTTTCTAGCATTTTACTTTCACATTTAGTTTAGCAAGTTCAGCCTTTGCCCAAATGTCACTAATTATTTGATGACTGTGCCATTTGACCTTTTAAAAATAGAAAATAGTGTTCATTGGAATTGCTTTTAAGACGTCTGTATTCCAAAGCACTCAGTGAGTTTAAAAACCCTGCAGCCCTCCAGGCTACCTTGGAGGATCAGCCACATCACTCTGTGCCTCATGTTGCTAAAAATAAAGCCACATCCTCCGGTTTACAGGGTCACTGATGACTGAGCTTTGTAAACCCTCGTAGCATACCAATTTATCACTCCTTGAGCTGCACACCGTCTTGGTGAAAGGAAATGGCAGCGGCATTGTGTCGAGTCATCACCTGCACACCTGCACATTCAAACCACGTTTTGGTTTTCACAGCTTCACACAGCGATCGCCTAATGATTATTCATCTTGTTTTGACTGAGGAGCCTTTATCCCTGTCCATCATCCTCATGCTTATTAATGAGCACGCTCCACAGTTTTGTTTTTATTCTTAGCGAGTATTACCTCTGGAAACAGCGGGTCCCTCAGGTCCAAGAAAGCAGATATTGCTCCTTTCTGACCACCTAATGGGAGTGTAATGTGCTGTGACACTGCAGGCAGCGGCTGTCAAAACAGTGGACCCTGTTCAACGGCTGGCCAATTGTTCTGAAGGGTGCTGGACTGGATCAGTGCATCACAGCAGCCAGCACCGAGTCTCGCACGAAACACACTGCCCAGAACACATTCACAGCACACAGTGTGCCGCCCAGACCGGCTTATAGAGAGACACCAGACGCGGACTAACCTGGTGCAGATTAGACTTCAATTACATACTCTTTCAAGTGATCAGGATATCATCATCATAAATCAAGACAAGCACAAATGCATAAAGACACTATCAGTTATTTTCGTGGTAAGAGAAAATAAAACCCACTGCAGGGCCTTCAGTATTTTAGGCATGGTTTTTAATGGGGCCAGAGTTAGTAGGAACTACATTAATGGAGGCAGTGATGCTTTGACTAAAAAACGAACTAATTACATTTGCTTCCTAAGTCAGTCAAACATGAGAGATGTTTGAAAGGTTGATGCTCATTTAGACATAAAACCTAAGCCGCTCCAGTAAAGAAACAAATCCTAAAAAGCTGACAGGATTATGCTTCACAGGACTTTATGAATGTGAAAACACAGATTGTTACTGTAGAGTGTACACAAAGAAAGAGTAGACGTCTGTGTGAGCAGCTCTTAATGGCCGACGGTATTCGTGTTGCTGCTTTGTGACCGTTTTATTTACGTTACAGAAATATCGAGCTGAGCTGAATGTGCCTGACAAGCAGGGCAGCTACCAGTTCACTCTGTGGTGTTCTCAAGCACTCAGGGAAGAGATAATGTCTAATCTGCTTCTACGGTATCTCACAGCGGCAGATCAGACCATCGTCTAATATCACACCCACTGTCTATAATACACAGTCATTCATAGTTTCAGGAGACAACAACAAAAACTCAGAGAAAGCCTTGTTATCTCATTTTTCTTTCAGCGTTAAATGCACATCTGGCTCACTGTTTCCAGACACGCACCGATTGTACAGCATCGTGGACTCATGCAGGAGCATCCAGACTCTTGGTTAGAGCTCCGACCATGCTCGCTGTCGATCAACACATTGTGTAATAGCAGTGTTGTGTTGGCTGGGTCTCCGTGTGACAAGCAGACAAGCCTAACATTGCAGACACTAGCAGCCTGCCACCAGGAGTCTGGAAGCAGACACACACACACACACACACACACACAGGTACACTGAGAAGGGAAAAAAAAGAGGAGGATGAGAGCCCTACATCCATCCTCTGTGTCCTCCACTTCATCTCCAAACCCTGAAATCACAGAGCAGACGTCTCCTCTCCCCAACTGCTGCTCACCCTTTCAGATACTCCTCCCTTTATTTTCACCAGTACTATAATCATCATCAAAACTGTCATCATCATTATTATTGTTATTACATTTTCAAAAAGTGCAGATAGAACTTTCCTGTGCCCCCATTCAGAAGGCAGGGCAGTAAAGGAGGATGGGGGAAACAATGGCAGTAAGAAGAGCAAGAAGAGCGCAAGATGAGAAAGAGAAAAGAGAAGATTTCTGATGAGTCTGAATTTTGTCGCTCCTGTGAACACACACACACGCACACATACATAACTAGGCACATATTAGCGCAGCACACCATACAGTCGAAATCGGTGGAGATCGACTCCCATCAGCACGAGACAACAGCACAGGGCAGCACGAAGAATTCATAGCATCAATAAAGAGACAGAAGTGTGCACACACAACCGAATGCATGTGCACAAACGTTTTGCTTCTGTTTTCATATTAAAATTGGAAGAAGATTTTAAATTGGTTTCCTCGGTTGGTGATGCTGTGACAAATGACATCATCGTATCATGGGGGAGATTTTTTGTTTTGTTTTTGTTTGTTTTTTCATCTTCTTTTTTCTCTCTCCATGTCAGTGCTTTGTCTGGAAAAATCAGGAGCGATCCATTTCATAAGTTTATTGTATTCCTGCTTTCCCAGTTTCGGAAGGTTTTTTTCATTTTAATCTCTATTTTTGTTGGAGCTACAGCACAGCACCCACAGCACACAGACGATAAGGGTGGGGGGTCCAGAAAAGGTCGGATACACTAATATTGTGCCAGAGGAAGAGAGAGAGAGGGAACAATAAGGGGGAAAAAATGAGATAAAGAAGAGCGTAGAGGAAAAAAAGGAGGAGGGAAAGAGACAGCAGTATCAACAATTCCATCTAGAGTTCAGCTGGTTTCATCACAAACAGAGTATTGATTGCTTTCCACAACTTCAGCTGAACATTAAACCACTTTTGAGTAAAAGGAGAGAGGACTGAATTGGGGAGAGGATATTGTACACTTGAGACAGATGACAAGGAGACAAATGAAGTGACAGGAGAGATGGGAAACAGCAGACAGGCTTTGGATAAGATAACGTATATTAGGCATGTGTATGGGGGGAGTTCTGCCAATCTGTTTACCTCATATATTAACATATATATATGTACATATTGTACAGACTGTATAGTATTGAGTACCTGGAATAGTCATACAATAGGATTATATGAGAATAGATCGTTACTTAAGATTCTCTGTGATCCCACGGGACTGGCACCTTAAATGGGTCGAGGGGCTGCAGTGTAGTTCAGAACCAAGGGGTCGACAAAGAAACTGAATATCGGGACGCCACAGGCAAAGTGCATAAGGACAGACAGACATACAGACAGGGGGTCAGAAACAGGGGGACCATTGGCAAAGTGGTGAGACACAGAAAACTAAGACACGGCTGTATGAAGAAGAGGGAACAGAAGAAGTGAGAAGAGTCGGAGAGAAATAGAGATCTTGAAAAAAAAAAAAAAAAAGAGTTTAAAGGTTTAATAGAGCAGATGGCTAATTGTACCCGTGTTTCGCAGCCTGGCAGCAAGTCAGTCTTGTGCATAAGGACGGGAGTGGGAGGAGGGAAGGGAGGAGGGGGGAGCAGGAGACGGGAAGCGGCCACGGAGGAAGCTGGGCGGTGCGATCAGGCCTTGAGAGCGTGCCACTGGGCGACGTTAGTACGCGGCCGAGCGAGCATGTCTTTCCAGTGCTTTACCTCCGCTGGTCCACTCTTCCACGATAGGTAGATCTGAGAGAGCGGGAGAAGAGAAGGGATGACAATGTAGACTAAATAATCTATAACCCAGAGTACACGACATTGCTGTTTTTGTTTTTTTTGTGTCATTTACACTAACGGTCGCCTTTATTCAGACATGTTTGGGGGATATCTGGCATCAGGTACGCGAGAGGAGCAGCGGCGATGAGTTGTAAGGTACTGACATGAAGGAAGAAACGTGGTCTCAGTTCTCTCACAGGCTGCATCACTTATAGATATTAAAATACATTTTGCTGTTGAGGCCTTAATCAATGAAGCCTATTTCTGCTGTGCTGAAACTCCCTGGAGTCTCCGCTGGTTGCCTGGTAACTGCTAGAGCCAGACCAGAGCCAGGCTAGCTGTCTCCTCCTGCTTTTAGTCTTTATGCTAAGCTAAGCTAACCGTCTGCTGGCTGTAGCTTCATGTTTAATTGCTAGACATGAGAGATCTTCTCATCTAACTCTATCTGCTAATATATGTATTTCCTAAAATGTCGAACTATGCTTTAAAATAGAGGAACTGGTTAGCACCACGACAGCAAACGGTGAAGCTAATGTTGTTCCTGGACCGTTTCTCCTCATTGATTAGTTTGTTCACCGCTGGTGAAAAATGTATGTTTAATTCAGTTATTAATTACTGTATCGTTTTTCCTCACCGCAAGTTGACCAACTTCAGTGGCGACCACTTCCTGTCTGAAAGTCTCTTCACTCAGTTTGCCATCACTTTCATGGCTCATGTGTTGTAACCAAAGGCTACAATACAAGGCGTACAAAGGCTTACCTTGCCGATAACGTCGTTGCGGCTGAGCCTGTCCTTGTCCATGACGGTGATGATGATGGTGGTCTCCCTCAGCACATGGGCGGCCACGTCGAAGGGGAAGGACTCGTTGAAAATGGGGTTGAGACAGCGCTTCATTGTCACAGTCTTCTTCTTCTCTACACGCTTATCCTTGTGCATCAGCCACACCTTCACATATGGATCTGCAATGTGGCCGCAAAAAAACAGCAGTTTACATGAGAGCGAGGGTGAAGATGCTCTGGGAAGGTGAATTTTAGAGTCAGGATGGCAATTACCCTCTTAATTGTTTAAGTCAGGGAAGGAAGCAGGGAAGCAGATACCTAGTTTGAGCTCAAGGTCAACTTATCCCCTGAGCTAGGAAACATACAAATGAGGAAGTATTTATGGAAATAGGGCCTGGGATTTGTACTGCCAATTCTGGTGAATTATCATATTCTGTGACACGAGCATACACCGCTCCTGCTACTGCACGAAGCAGTAATTTTAACAATATATGCCACATAAAGCAATTTACATTGAGACTTGATGCTTTAAAGACTAGCACCAGACTGAGCTGACACAGATTTGGCTGAGCAGATCCTCATAGATATACAGAAAGAGAGGGAGCAGGAAGGATAGATAGAGGGAAAAGGGAGAGGTGCAGCTATCTACGGTGCTGAAACTCTGATCCACGCCTTCATCGCCTCAAGAATTGACTACTGCAACAGCATTCTCCACGGCACATCATCCAAAATCCTAAATAAACTCCAGTACATCCAGAACTCTGCTGCTCGCCTGCTCACCCACACCCGCTCCCGTGACCACATCACCCCTGTTCTCCAGAACCTCCACTGGCTCCCCATCCCACAACGGATCCAATACAAAATCCTTCTCCTCACTCATAAAGCCCTCCACAATCAGGCCCCCTCCTACCTCACCGACCTGCTTCACCACCACACTCCATCCCGTCGGCTCCGCTCCTCTGATGCCAACCTCCTGTCTCTTCCACTCAGGACCAAGCACCGGACATGGGGTGACAGAGCCTTCTCCATATCTGCCCCCTCCCTCTGGAACTCTCTCCCCAAACACATCTGAGACTGCACTGACCTTTTCACATTCAAACCTCAAATCAAAACCCACCTGTTCAAAACTGCTTTTAATGTGTGACCACTATTGTGTATTTTATGTTTTTAGTGTATTGCTTTTATATATGATGATTTTAATGTAAAGTGTCTTTGAGTTTTATGAAAAGCGCTATATAAATAAAATGTATTATTATTATTATTATTATTATTACGGTGCGACCCAGCTTAGAAGCTAGAAGGCAACAGTCTTCTGCTGGACGGGTCAGCGAATGTTTGAACGCGGATATGGAGCTTCCAATGTCAGGAGAGGGGTTTCAGATGGGTAAACAAGGGTTAAAAAGAAAGAAAAAGGCTAAACAAACGTACCTGAGGTGCCCCCGATATCCATGGCTTTGAGATTTCGCGCTTTGATAATGTTCACAGTGATGGTGTTGGCTGTGGGATTATAGCAGAGAGACAGCAGCAGGTCTCCTCGTCTCCCCTGAGGAACACACACAAACACGACGACGTATGAATCCCCCAGTCTGATATCAGATTTCATCAGGGAACATCAACCTCCAGATTACTCACTAGCTCGTTGTGCAATCTTACATCACTGCTCTAACCCCTTGTGCCAAACGCAGATGCTAAACACAGTGACCAGGCTGGCATAGCTGAGCCCGTTGCTCACCCTGAAATTACGTCAATCAAGCTCACATGCTGAGAGCACTCAACAAATGGCGTTGCACTTTTAATAAACCTGTAACATCTGAATGAAAACACTGGATGTGTCATCGTCCATCCCTCCCTCTCTTACACTGCCATCACTGCAGGGCTTGAGCTCCTTCCAGAAGGTCTTTATCTGGCCCAGTTCCACCTTGTTAAGGGGGATTGACACCTCTCCAATGGGGTCATTCCTGCTGAAGCGGTCGTAGTCCAACACCTGAAGGTATAGAGTGCGCTCTCTCACTTTCTCGTAAGGGAAGCCTAAAACAGAGACAGAATCAGAGGGAAGTTACAGAGGGTGAGAAACATATTCTTGACAGCGCAGAGCGTGCAGTGTAATCTGCACCATGCTAACAGGGAGGAATTTGGCAAAGGCCAGAGTGCATTTCAAAAACTGCAGGAACAGCCAGCTCTCTCTCTCTCTTAAATGACTGAGAGGGATTATTACACTCAAGTTACAAAGAACTATCTCATTCATGTTTCAAGAGCACTGGCTATTTTCTAATTTTAGAACCGTTTACACATTATTTTGGCTATTTTACTATCCGAACACATTGGTCATAATGAAACAACTTGCGATCATACAGAGGTGAGACACTCCTTCACTCTGGAGGCTGCTATACTTAACATCTGCATTTTGCAGAGTTGAAGGTTTTATAAATGTCTTGTTTGGGAATTTTCACACAACTTCCACAATGCTCTTTCTGGGTTAAGATAGGACCTTTGTCGTTGCCACTAACACTTAATGGACCAATGTTACAAACTTAGGTTTGTGAGCCTGTGATTTGAGCAACACATCTCTTCTTAAAGGAGAAGATCGATACCACTCTCATATTTGTACGTAAAATATAAATATGAATAGAAAAATATGTAATAAAAACAGTTATTTTATATATATATATATATATTCTTTGATACGTAGCTGAGTGGAAACAACACAGACCCTCAAACAGGAAGGTTTCGTTCCAGTTTGGATTGAGGTTCTTCCTCTTGACCTTGGTCTCCAGCTTGTGCTTTTTGTCGGGCAGCAGGTAGATTTTCACGAAGGGATCGGAGGTGCCGGAGAAGTCTTTGGCCGGGAGCTCCTGGCCCCTGAGAAGTTTGACGGTGAGGGTCGTGTTCTGGAAGCTGTAGCCTATGCTGAACTGGATCCGGCCCAGCTTCTCACTGATTGGCCCTTCACCGTCATCGTCCTCCGATCCTGGGGACAGCTGCCGGGGCCACAAATGCAGTCAAATAAATATAAATACATGCAACAGCAGCAGCAGCAGCAGCAGCAGCCACTCATCACACGGATAGTTCAGTCCAAGGACACACACTTTCTCTCACACAAGCACACGCACACACACCGTGACAGAGAGAAGCTGTGATGGGAGGAGATTTTAGAGCTGCATTTCTATCACGGCGTACTCAAGCAGCTGCTCAAAGGTCTGACATTAAGAAGACTGAGAGAGTTTAATTTCCTTTCTAATGTTCTTAAGAGGCAGGAGGCGCTCAGATTAAAGATAGAGGAGCTTTAGACCACCCATTCTCCCTCACAGCCACTCTGACTGCTTTATCACTGCTGTGCACTAAAAGGCCACTATCTGATAGAAGGCAGCGGTCAGAGAGTCAGAGAGAGAGAGAGAGAGAGAGAGAGAGAGAGAGAGAGAGAGAGAGACAAACAGAAAGAGTAGGAGAGAGAGAGAGAGCATTGCATTAGGGGCACAGCGAGAACTAAAGCACAGCTCAAGGTTAGCATTCCGCACTCGAAGCTAAGCTCCACTTCTTTTCTCCCCGTGGCTCCACCTTCTGCCGCTGTCCTTTATTGTTTTCTCCCTCTGCAACAATACCATTGATTTGGAATGAAGCGTTTGAGGACTTTGAGGGAGTTCATAAAGACCACTTTGTGCAAGTGTCTCCACTAATACTTTGAAAAGACCAGCTGGGTCGTTTGGTTTGCAGGCAAACTCTTTGTCGGAGCATTACCTGAACTTGTTGATTTCAGTGCCTTGTGTTAGAGCTTAAATTTCAAAGTGGAAAAAGACTCACTTGCTCAGCTTTTGTCAATATGGGTTTTAGAACTGACAGGCAGAGCAAGTGTGAAATATTTCAAAGTCTAATTTACGAAACAGTGTGAGTCACCTTGGATGGCTTGTCTCGCTTGATTGCCGCTGTAGGAACTGTCTGTGTTTTTTTTTTCTCATATTATGGTACTCTTATTACTACGTGCAGCTTTAAATCAACCTCTAGCATGGAGGATGATTCTGCAACACGAGTCCTGCCTACAGCCAGTACTGCCAAAATATGACATGCATATAACATTTAATTCCAAAACCATGGGCATCAATATGATTTTTGTACTCTTCTGTTCTGAATATTTCCACACAGCTTCAAGAGCATTAATGATGCCAGGCACTGATTTTGGTGGATATGGCCTGGCTCACAGTTTGCGGTCCGATTCATCACCAGAGATGTTGGATGGGGCTGGCAGGCTAGTTGACTTCAAACTGGAATGGCCATGTCAAGGTCAGTTTACTCATCATAAGGAGTACTACTCAGCCAGTGAAAACAGCTGTATAATACCATCTGTGATTTTGGACTAAGCTTTCTAAAATCTAAGACAACACTATGAAACATACTCAGGACTAAAAATCTGAATATATTGGCCTCTTTTGCTTTAATTCATTTTTAATCTATCTATCTATCGTGAGTCCCTCTACATTTTGCTTAATGAATAAGTCAGGCAAAATTCTATATTGTTTGTACTGTCAAACAAATTCCATGAAAAGCCAAAAAATAATAATGAATTGATCCTATGGTTGTTTATGTAGCTTAAGCCTCATCTTCTCTGTGCCATTGTCATCTAAAAAATATTAAATACACATAAATGAACATGGGACCTTTTTTTTTTTGGGTCAATCCCACAATCGCACATCGCATATTCATCAACGGACAGAGATAGTCCAAAACATATTTGTTCCTTACTCCCATTGGACTCACACTTAATAAAATCTGCAGCTGTATTAGGAAATAACTTTTTGGCTCAATTGGTTCATGTGCTTGATGTCACAGACAGGGTAGGACAGGCTGTCATTATGTTGAGTTATTGGCTATTAATGGGAAGTATTGGCAATTAAATAATACATAATAATATACTCCTCAGCAGGGTGGATGTGTGTGGTGAGATACCAGTTCTTACCATCACCATGTCTCCTGTAAGGGAGTTGGCCAGGTCAGTTACGGAGGAGCGGCCGTCAGCATCAGGGGGTTGGCCCTTGGGACTGTTCGCTGGCTTGTTGCCCCTGTAAGCAGAAACACAGGTTGACCCGGAGGGGAAACGGCGAGGACATGTGCTGAGAAGCTAACTCGTCTCCAGAAAGACAGAATGTCTGAGCACACAGGGAGTCCAACCTCCACCTGTTTGGCGCTCGAGGACCGCCTATCTGAAACGACCAATTGAGTACAAATATGCTTTGGATAGATGTCACTTCAAAGTAGATTGTGCTTTCTCTAGCTATCATGAGCGAAGCCAAATAAAATCTGCCAAAGATTCTACAGATTAACAGCGGGCGCTAGAACTGAGGGCATTTGATGCGGTGAGTTGTGTTTGATGAAACTTGGAATCTGAGATGACTGTACATATGTCCAGTGTGGCAAACATCCATATCTCTAACAAGAAAGTTACCTCCACCAAGTAAACAAACACATTTTCAGACAGAACGCAAAACAGAACCACTAAATTTGAAATTGATAGAAACCAATCCATTGTCTCCAAATCCCCAAAGAGTTCAAGATTAACCTTATTTACTCTACAGACATTAACGGGACACACATGTATAATGACATGTATAGCAACATAACGTCACTATAAATACAATAGACAAACATGTATAGCAACATGTAGAGGACCAGACGTTTAACAGGACAGATGTGGAACAGTTGTGTAAAGTGTGCGTGCGTGTGCGTATGTGTGTGTTAAAATCTCTGTTATTAATATGCATCATCAACACAAAATGTAAATAAAAGCACAAAAGACAGAACAGAGATCTCCCATGGCACAGCTGGTACTTAGGTACAAATGTTAATAGGTGTTAAGTTTAGTTGAAAACATAACGTTAAAGTGGGACAAACATTCTGGGAGAAAAACCTCTATGTTCATACATCATGAAAACAAGAAGAATCACAAAGTGTAAAGAAAAAAAATCAGCAAAAGAAGAAACATTTAAAGAGAATAAATATTATGAGATTAAAGAAAGAATGAAAAAAAGATAGAGGAAGAGAGAGATCAATGTGAAAGTCCTGGCCAATGTAATGTGAGACATTGGACACACAGCACTCCATAGATGACTGGTCAAGGCACATGGAGAGGCTGCACACTGAAACACTGTTGGGCAATAAACAAACAGTAAATAGAGAAGAAAAACAAGAACAGACACACAGAGAAAGAGAAAAGAAATGAGCAGACTCAGAGAGGATGCGGAAGTTGCAGACACACACACTGGACAGAAATCATAAAGACTGTAGATAAGATAAAAGGTTCAACAAGGAAAGTAAGAAATAGAAAAGCAAGCTGAAAATTGTTTAACTGTATTAGAAGAGATAGAAAGTATTAATAGCATGAACAGTGAGGTTACGAAAACCAAAACCAAAGAGAGAGTGTGAGATTGTTACAAACAGCAGCACATTAGAGAGAAAAACAGAGCTGCAAGAAAAGATAGGGAATGAAGGAAGGAAAGCCTGGAAACACAAGAGAGGCTTAGTTTGGTCAGTCGGATCAGTATCAAAGAATAAGAGACAAAAATAAAGAGCTATGCACAGACAATATATCTAACAGGAGACAAAGGGGCGGACATGATAAAGGGAGAAAAAGAGCACACGGAAGAAAAGAAAAAGACAATAAATACAATTGATCACCAGGAAAAGGAGAGCAAGAACCATTGTTCTACGTGGAGAGCTCAAAATAAACGATAGATGAGATATAGTATGAAAGAGAAATAAGGCTTAGATATACCATTAAAATATATAATATCATTGAAAACACAAAAAGAGACAAATAGTAAGAACATAGGAAATGCACATTTAGAGTGTCACAAAAGAGGGCGTTGGTAGAAATAACGTAATAACTATTATAGAAGGTAACTTTACATCTAACCGGATTTTCAACCTTTAAGCAACACTCTAAAAGTGTGGACTGGGGAAACAAGGGCCAAAGCACAAACTGGCATTGGCTACAAGTGCATATACAATATATGCAAGTAGTTGTCACTCACAGAGAGTGAAGGCAATGCCTTGGACAGGCAGGAAACAAGGAGCCCACAGAAAGTCTGTCTGTCTGACCAGCAATCTCTGTCGAGCTTTTCACTGAGAGAATGTACTTTTTTTGTTTTGAGCGTTCTAAACTGTAAATTTGGATGAGAATTGATGTTGAATGTAATAATGTGTACATTTTTGCTGAAGACAAGGACAGAACCGGGGGGGGGGTGGGGGGGGGCCTGGCCAAGGAATTGCCTTCACTCTCTGTAAGTGACAAAAAAAAAA